ACTTCCTCTATTTAATATTAATATTTTATAGAATATTCAGTTTCTTTTTTCAATGGCTTCTCTGTCATGTGACCGAATGTCTTCAAATCACTTTCTGAATTGAATACTAGTCTGTACACAATAGACACAGGTCTTTAGAGTGGATTCTAGTACTTCCTCTATTTAACCCTTGTGTGGTGTTCATATTTTTGTTATTCAGCCAGTCTTGCAGCGCCCCTGCTTCTAGTCTAAATAATGTGTTAACTGGACGGAAACTTCAACATAATTTTGTGTTTAAAGGAGAAAATTGGGGAACACATTATTGTTCAGTGCAAACTGTTTCAGCTGAATAAACTGTCTGTGTCCAAAGAGTTAACATCTCATTTGTAGAAGCAATTGAAAGCAGAGGAAGAAGAAGTACTTCTTATCTACTAAAAGAAGTACAAAATATGAACTACTATCTTGTACTTCAGTAAAAGTAGAAGTACCAAAAGTAAAAAGTAGTGGAGATTGGTCCATTTCAGAATAATATATATGAAGACTTGATTATATTTCCCATCAATAATCCAAATCTGTAAAGTAACTAAAGTTATTAAATACATTTAGTGGAGTAAAAGTACACCATTTACCTCTGAACTCTAGTGGGGTAGAAGTACAAAGTAGCAACACATGTAAATACTCAAGTAAAGTACAAGTACAGTACCTCAAAATTGTACTCTAGTAAAGCTGCTTAGTTACTTTAAACCACTGTTAGTAAATGCTGTGTAAATTATTCAGTTTTCTAAAATACTTGGATTAGGTAGGTGTAAAAAAGTCAGTTACTGTACAGTCGTCAAGAAAAGAGTGGTTGCACTTTGAATTGCCTTGTGTTGAAAGGTGCTCTATAAATACACTTGCCTTGCTAATATTAAACTAACTATACTCCCTTTTTTAGGAATTTTATTTTGAATTGAAATTCATGCAGAGGACACATTTTTAATATGTTGGTTTCTTCTTTTCTAAGGTCACATTATTTCTGTCGTCTGACATTATACATTTCATTAAAAACGTATTCATATTTATTTTCTCTTGTTTTTATTTGGGTTGCATTTAATATGGAGGTAATCCAACTGAAACGGAAGGTCATCAGGTCCCATCACTTATATTTTTGATACTCAGATTAGGTTACCGATAATAATTTTTAAAAGGTATAATCTGTAATTATAAGAGAATGCATTTTTAAGTAACACTAGTAGCCATAGATCTATGTTTTTAATGTAACCTTGTTTTAATTTGAAACATTTGAGAATGTTTTACTACATCAAATTATCTGAATATGTATCACATTAAATTCGTTTTGAAGAAACACACTGTTGGAATTATGTTTACTGAAGCTTTTGATTAAAATGTCTCCTGTTGAACATCTTACCCTGCTGGCTCTCAGGCAGAAATGGTGGATGAACATATCCAAAAAAGAGGCTGAAATGAATGAAGACAGATACTGTAACGACTATCAACCAGTGAGTGAGTGACCTCTGTGTGAACACTCAACAGTCTAGAACAGATTGTGTCTAGTGACATAATGCTTTTCTATGTAAGAACATATCAATGCAAACATCTGAATATCTGGCTCTTCAGTTTAATTTCTCCTGTCGAGCATTGTTCCTATCTACAGACCACCAAAATATTCAGCAAACTTTCTTGATGATTAATCCGAATTATTGTTGATTATCTGGAATGATTCTGAGTCCATACTTATAGCATACTGACAACCCGCAAGGACAGTAGTGCCATCATATGATCAAATATCCTGGGAAACTATGGACTAACCCAGCATGCCCCACTCTGAAATTGGGTCAAACTCTTGATCAGGTTATCACCAAAGGTCTCAATATTTCAAACCGTTCATAGATGTTGGTGACTCACATTACCCCTGTATCTTCTTCAAATCAATATCAGTGTTTGCACTAAGAGGCAAGCAGAGATACTCACAAAACAAGACAGAGGAAACAATCTAGTTTACGCCTTTTCCTCCACTATTGGACTTCAGTCAAACTCTGCTGATTATATGGTTGGTCATTTGATGAACTACAAATCTCAATGATGCTCTTGCCCCTGCTACAGTCAAAGATCTCTTTGGTAAAAAAAAAAAAAGCACCATGGACGGAGTATATCAATCAAATATCAATGTTCTTGGACTGTCTCTGTAACTTTAAATTACAAAATGCAGGATGCTCTTTTTTTCTTTATTTCCAAATAGTGTCAGCCTGACAACCACTACATTTCAAAACACACATCAAAGGAATTACAAAATCAGCACATTACCTCTTGCCATACATTTTCTGGTGTAACAATGTACATTTCCCCTCTATGGGACTAATAAAGGTATTCTGATTCTGATTACCACCTTAGCTAAACTGAAAACACTCATGTCTCAACAGGATCTGGAGAAACTAGTCCATGTCTTTATTTCAAACCAAAACAATTGAGCACATCACCCCAGCTCTCAGAGCTCTGCACATGCTATAAAACAAAGAATACACTTTATAATCTTCCTTTTGACTTCAGTATAAACTTTAAGATCTAAATGGATTGGCACCACAATACAATTGGGAAATGCTGCTGTATCCCCTCAGTTTGCTGTGTGCCCTGCACATTTGGCTCAGAACCAAATTTGCAGGGCAGCTTTAATTTGTTATGCTCCACAGACATGGATCAAACTTCCTGAAGAGTTATTTTTGTATCATCTCCACCTAGATTTTGAAGAATGGCAGCACTCCGCCACACCATGGTCAGATGTTCCCCTGCTCAGTTGCAGTTCAAAGGAAACCGAACCCACTGGATGAAGCACCATGAAATCAATGACATTTGATGTCACGTGGGCCTTTTATACATCTGTCTCAGGGTGCATTACATCGGTAAAAAGAAGAAACCCAACAATTAACGTGAACAAATGTTAGAAATTATATATGACAACATATGGAATCTCACAAAGCTTCCAGGAGTTGCAAACAATCAAAACATGAACATCCACCAGGAACACAGCAACAGGATGCAGACGCCAGCTTTAAACAGGGCAGCCTGCCAGGTGATGTAACGAGTAGCTCTCAGAGGTCTCTCAGCTGTTAGCTGCTTTTAACATACACTAAGTTACAGAGGCTTGCTTTGAGAAGGCTTCACACTTTTTTTTCATTAATAACAGCAATTTAAAAATGCCAATTCACAATGATTAATTCAAGTGTGTGCATGCATACACTGAACCCTGGAATCAGAAACATGATATGACAAAATGATGAAGCTCTAATAGTAAACACTTCCCACAGATAACAAGCTCTCTAGAGGGAACACCTACAGCATGGTGATTTGATGTTCAGGGGCAGTTCAAAATCCATTTAGTCCTTCAAGTAGAGGAATCACTGTCACACAACATGGCTGATTAATAAGGAAGTACAGTACCTGAGAATCACTGTCACACAACATGGCTGATTAATAAGGAAGTACAGTACCTGAGCATCACAGCTGACACACCATTTCTAAATAAATACTGTGTTGTATAAATGAGGCTTATGAAAATTGCACTAAAATCCAACCATGTCTCTAACCGTTCATTTGGTATTCAAGCAGACTCCGAAGTATTGTCTGAAACCTTGAGAACAAAAACGGCATCATCGAGAACGTAGTAATCATTGTACATGTCTCCTTCACAGAGGTATGGCAGCCGGGTCACAGCCTCCACTTCAAACCCCGCCTTTCGGAACACCTCACTGGACAGATTAGTTACTTGCTCCTCCCAGGTTTTTCCTTGTACTTTTATATGTTCTTTGGGACGCTGCCATTTTCCTCCTAAGAACAAATATAGAATGTTTTAATTTGGGTCAGAGTGGAAATCTATGAAGCCATATACATATGAGGAAAGATTCCCAACTGACCGACTTCCACATAAGGCTGGAAGGGAAGCACTGCAGCCAGGATGAGCCTCCCAGTGCTGGGAACCAGCGACAGCCGGATGTCCTGCAGCAGATGGAGGGGGTGCTCACAGCGGTCCAGCAGGTTCAGACAGCTGATCACATCGTACTGGAAACCAGTGTGCTGCCACTCATCGATCCCCAGCAGCCTAAGCACCACGGAAAAACAGAATTTTTCGATGACAATTCGTTATTTTTAGGGGTACAAGAAATGATAGTTATAGCAGTCGAAGTGGGAACGTGACGCCCCATCTCTGGCACTGTGGCCAACATTAATAGCACAGCTGCTAACACAGACAACAGAGTGATAGAGGGATGACTCATTTTCGTAGGCTGACCCGGTAGTTAGCATCACAAGGCTTCCCTGGACATAAACCAATAGGTGCTCTCACACCGAAATACTTTCCCCCGTAATTTTCCCTTTTAGTTCCGATAGTTCCTGGGATTTTGCGTTCACACCAAAAAGAGAACTTAGTTCATGAGAACTTTTCCCCCCTTTTCAGTCCCTGCTAGAGAGGTGGTACTTTCCTGGGGAGAATAAAGTTCTAATTTCTGAATGGCTGGGCGAATTGCAAACCACGCCCTGTAAAACTCAGAAAAGTTTTGTGAAGCCAGCATTGTATTTGCTGGCATTATCATTATTAGCATTAGCCCCGCGCACCAACGGAGAGAGAATAACTTATGGCAACACAAAATAAAACATGGGAGCGGTGGAGATGAGGAGGTGTCGGCGTTCTGGCGATTTAGTCGGAAGGCTTCAGTAGAAGCTGCTAACTCCGGGGACTTCCGGCCGGGGACTTTGGGTGGCAGTATACGCCGGGAAGTTGTTTGCGGCCTGCCAGTAAACCCAAAGCAGAAGAAGAAGTGACGTCAGCGGCTTCATTTGCGTAATCTTCCCCCAGACGGACTTATTCCGGTGTGAAACGCGAGTCTGCTCTTTATAATTATGGGTGGACTGAAGGCAGCATTTCCACTGCAGCGGGTAGCCGTTTAAGCGTCCTTAATCGTGCCTCAAGCAGGCCAGGCCAGTTTTTGGTGGCTTTCATATAGCGTAGCACCGGCTAGCTGGTACTTTTCCCCTCTCTTTCGGGCCCATAAAATTGTGGTTCTAATCAGGCCAGGTGCCAGGGCTGGAACTAGTGACGTCACACTCTCGACTGCTGATTGGTCAGAGAGAATCGTCACAAGATCGCGTGCGAGATCATCCCGAGCGTCCGCATATAGACATGTTGCAAGAAAAATGTGACCTTTGGAATTACCTGGATTTCTGCATAGTTTTTGGTCCATAAAATGGAGGAAGCACTGCTGTCCAGAAAAAACTTGCTGCACGTTTGAAGTTTGCAAAGATCACCTGGATGTTCCGCAGCACACCTGGCAAAATATTCTGGTGGACAGATGAACAAAGTTGAGTTGTTTGGAAGGAACACACAACGCTATGTGTGGAGAAAAAAAAGCACAGCACACCAACATCAAAACCCCATCCCAACTGTGAAGTATGGTGGAGGGAGCAATCATGGTTTGGGCTGCTTTGCTGCTCTCAGGGGCTGGACAAGATTGCCATCATCGACGGAAGAGATGGAATCTCAAGTTTATCAAGACATTTTGCTGGAGAACTTAAGGCCATCTGTCCACCAATTGAAAGCTCAACAGAAGATGGGTGATGCAACAGGACAACGACCCAAAGCACAGAAGTAAATCAACACAGAATGGCTTCAAAAGAAGAAAATAGGCCTTCTGAGTGGCCAGTCAGAAGTCCTGACCCTTCAACCCATTGGAGATGCTGTGCATGACCTCCAAGAGAGCGATCACCCAGACATCCCAAGAATATTGCTGGAACTGAACAGTTTGTAAAGAGGAAATGGTCCAAAATTCCTCCTGACCGTTTGTGCAGGTCTGATATGCAACTATAGGAAACGTTTGGTTGAGGTTATTGCTGCCAAAGGAGGGGTCAACCAGTTATTAAATCCCAATGGTTCACATACTTTTTCCACCTGCACTGTGAAACACATGGTGTGGTTCAATAAAAACATAATTGTTTGTGTGTTTTAGTTAAGCAGACTGTGTTTGTCTATTGTTGTGACTTACAATGAAGATCAGAACACATTTTATGATCAATTTATGCAGAAATCCAGGTAGTTCCAAAGGGTTCACATACTTTTTCCTTGCAACTGTATGCTAGAAGGCAAGCTTGCATGATTTTTATACACGCATTTTTGTAAACGGAGGAGGTACAAAAGGCAACGTCAAAGAAAGCACACCGTGGTCGACCGAGGAGGTGACGACCGTTCCTACATCTCATTGGGGATGATATAAATCCAGCGGGAGCTCGACGGAGACAAACCTCGAAATGTGAAAAAAAGCGATGTCCCGCCTACACTGCGTTTGCGCTACCCCAGTCTAAACTGTAATGGAAAATGCCGCCACGGCCTCGGACCGCCAGCCGAGGGCAGCCCCGAGCCTGATGAGGACGCC